TTATTTTAATTTAATTTTAGTTTTTTCCTTATTATATAAATGTTCTTCAAAATCTATTATTTCTTTTTATACTCTCGCAACCTGTTGCTACAGAGTATAATAGTTTTGTTCACCTAACGGTTGTTTGTATCACCTAAAACTAATCGATATGTATATATAAATGATAAGGATGAAGAGACGAGTTAAATTCCGGGTGACTGTCTGTCCGTCCGTCCGTCTGTCCGTCCGTGCAAGCTGTAACTTGAGTAAAAATTGAGATACTCTTGTTGACTTGGTAGACTTTTTTCTCGGTACCGTGAGACGGTTGGTGTTGCAGATGGGCGTAATCGGACCACTGCCACGCCCACAAAACGCCATTAATCAAAAACAAATAAATTGATATAACTAAGCTCCGCAATAAGAATCAAGACTGTTATTTGGTACACAGGATCACATTAGGGAGGGGCATCTGCAGTTAAACTTTTTTTTTTAAGTGGGCGTGGTCCCGCCTCTAATAGGTTTAATGTGCATATCTCCTAAACCACTAATGCTATAATGGCAAAATTCACTGGAAGCAAATGTTTTTAGAACCTCTACCTACTAAAATTGAGATCGGGTGGCAACTCCGCCCACTCCCCATATAACGGTACTGTTAAAAACTACTAAAAGCGCGATAAATCAAGCACTAAATACGCCAGAGACATTAAATTTTATCTCTGGGACGGTATGAGATGACTTTATAGGAACCGCGTTTAAAATTAGACAGTGGGCGTGGCACAGCCCACTTTTAGGTGAAAACCCATATCTTGAGATCTGCTTAACCAATTTCAACAAAATTCGGTACATAACGTTATTTTCATATTTCTATGTTATAGTGCGAAAATGGGCGAAATCGGACTGCAACCACGCCTATTTCCAATATAACACCATTTTCAATTCCACTTGATTCTTTCACTTTCCACTATGCATATCAAGCAACAATGATTATATCGGGGTAAAACTTTGCGTGAATAATACGTTTAAAGTATGCCACCTTGTGGCCAAAAATTGTCTAAATCGTACCTAAACTGTTCAAGCCCCTAAGTACTAAATATGTGGACCCCAGTGCCTATAGTTGACCTTCTACCGAAAATATCAGCCAATCCACAAAGAAATCTCAAACGAGTATACCATTTGACTTTGCGAGAGTATAAAATGTTCGGTTGCATCCGAAATTAGCCCTTCCTTACTTGTTCATTATATATGGCATTAAATTATAAAATTTATATAAAATTGCCATTCATATGAAATCTTTAACTACCTTTACACTCCATATAGTACTTTTATATGTTTACTTATTATCATTATTTTATAGTTTTTCGATTTTGTCAACTCCGCAACGATGCGCAAAATTCGGCGTCAATATGTATGCGAGCTCGTATGTATATATGTATGTTTGTCGACAAAGTCGTCATTTAGTTTTTTTCAACAACACAATGTCCGCGCGAACTCGCCGTTATTTCGTTGGCTTGCCACCATGCACAGAGGCGTGTCAAGTGAGGACCCATAATATATTAATATGTTGCTTAATTTGTATTGAGAAATACTAATTCATTAATGACTTATTTTCGTAATATAATTAATATATACGTAAAAATATAAATACAAATAAATGCATACCTATAATCGTTTTTTTAAATAAATTCGATTAATAAAAATATATCTGAAATAATTATGTGGCAGTGCGCCCCTGTCCCCTTCTTGCCTGTTTGTCCGGGGCAAGAAAAAGCAGGCATCAGCGTACGTGTATTTATGAATGTATGTGTGATTGTCACATTTGTGTAAATACGCATAAATAAGGGAATATGCAATAAACCTAAACATATGAATTTCCTGAATAATTTAAATTATCTCAGGAAATAAAATATGCTATTAAAGTAATTGAATTGAAATGAGCTAAAATCTCAAAGAATAAAATAAAATCAGAAATAAAGATTTATGGTTTACAGGATTCGATCGTAAGCGTTTGTATTCGGAGTGGCTTAACTCCTTCACGCTTACGACCTGAGCCACCGCAAGAGTGGAATCGCAGCCGCTTAGCCACTGTTTGATGTTATCCTTTGCCTATTAGATATTTTTCATGCAACGCACAAAATGTGTTGAAGAATTTATCTATTAATTACTTATTTTGTTGTTAATTCTGCGGCTTTAACCAATAATCCTCTTATATAATTTGAGGTATATATCGCATAATTCATTTAAGAACATTCGTTGTGTCTATTTATAGCCTTTTCCCCGTTTCGATCATTTCGTGGTGTATTTCAATTGAGTCGAAGTTGTATTTGTCGATGTTCCCTCTTGTGAAAAGCTCAATTTAGTACTTTTTAACATTTGCGCCTTCTCTATTTATTAACATTTTCTGCTAATGGTGAACTCCCTGATCGGAATTTTTCAGCTCTGTTAGCCGTCCAATCGAGCATCATACAAAATTCAATTTGCACCTTCTTGTTCTTCTAAGTCCTCTGGTTCTACCATATTCATGGTAATTCCTCGTAAGCAAAATATGAGACCATCATACAAATTAACTAGTCTACACGCGAGTCGTCAAAAACCTTCAAAACTGATTTGGTCGCATTGACCAGCTTCACGCTCGTATTCCACTCTGCGGCGCCTGTGAGAATCGATTTGGTATGAAAATATGCATGCAGCTGATTTATTGCATTCGTCAGCTTGGTGCTCGGCTTAGCTTTGAGGTTCCACTCTACAGAGAACCCAATATGTGAATCGCTTTACAATCCCAGCTGAGAAAAAAATAATAAAAATAAATATTGCTTTCTTTTAGATATCATATAATGTGGCATCTCACGTTTTCCTTCAAGTGAAATCAGTTTTGCAAAAACCTTTAATTAGTTATTGTTGTTTCTGTAATTTTCTCATTAAACATGGGTGCTGCATGTACTTTTGCGAGCTAGATAATTTCTCCACTGGGTCATTGTGTGTTGTATTACTTAGCAATTTTTTATCGACAAATTATCATGTACATATGTATTGAATGATCATCATACATTTGTGTTTGTAAATTTTCGGACGATGATAAAGTTGTTCACTATAATAAAAGGTATTTCGATGCGCGCCAAATTAATATATTTACACGCAATATTTAAAAATGTTTAGAGCACTATATTCAGTTATGAGTAACTACACCTAATTCTGTACGGTGGATTGGTTCCAGAAAATCGTGTGAAAAACCATGTAAAAAACATTGATTGTATGCAAAAATAGGTTATTGGTTCCTTATCTTTAATACCTATTAAAATGAATGAAAAAGAAGATTTTTTGAGAACAATTATTTATGTTTATTTTATTAAATACACAAGCATAGTTATTAAAGAAAAAGAATATATGCACTCTAAGCTTTAAAGTAGCTCTAGGCGCTTTGTACCTAGGAGTTCTGGGCATCACAACGGACAAGCGTCGCTAGCAGTCCAAATGGAATTATGTATTTACCTATGCTTAAAAGTAATGTAAATTAAATGTATGACAAGTTCAATAACTAAAAACAATTATGTAAAGCAGCAATGTTGTTAACATAAATATTAGGTTATTCAACATAGTAAGAAAAAATTAAAATGATACATACATACATTCATGTAAATTTAATTGCTGCCTTCATCAGTTACTCGCATTCGCTTGCTTTGAATGCGTATAAAATAACTATCATCGATGGAATAGTTTTGAACTGGATTTTTTCTTGCTCGTTCGGAATCCACATTTTTAGTAGTGAACTGACCAATAAACTTGCATGTATTCACAAAAAGGGAATTCCTATAAATTTGTGATAGCACATATTATATTTCACAAAGAGAAATAAAATCGTGTAAAAATATATTTTTATTTTAAAACCGTGTAAAAACAGAATTAGGTGTAGAAATGGTAAATATGTACTTAATGACCCCCACTTCGTAGGGGGTTGGGGTTGTAAGGGGTGACACAATTAAGTGTCCTTTTTATGAATTCGACGGAATTACCCGTCGGTCACCCCTTAAAAAAAAGATATGTAGATTACAAATCCGTGAGCGGAAAGTGAATTTTTTCAATAATTTATGTATATTTTTCAATATTTATTTACACACTTTGCACATATCACATATTCAAGTCACTTAGTTGTTGTTGTTGTTGTTGTAGCGGCAACATTCTGTAGAATTCAGATCTCTTAGCTGTAATTACCAGTTCAGTGTGTTAAACATTTTCTTATGAAAAAAATATACTGAAGAAATGTAATAGTCAAAATTTCTTTTGTGCCGCGTTTTTATGGAATGAATGAATATCGGAGATCGTCGAACTCCTTTCTGCACTGGCGGCCTTCGGCCGCGCTTCAAAAAAATAACCCTGGTCGGTCCAAAACCGGGGTGTTCATAATTCAATCGCGTCAAAATCCTTTTCGCTGCTGTTTGTGCAGAAAGGAGTTTGACGCAATTGAATTATGAACACCCCGGTTTTGGACCGACCAGGTTTGAATTTGGGAATATGCTGTTTTCACGAAATTTTAACCCTTCATATAACTTTTTTGAAGGGTGGCCGACGGCTAAATCCACTGAAATTGTATTTCACAGACTCCCTTCACATACCATCTGCAACCCCAACCCCCTCCGAAGTGGGGGTCATTAAGTACATAATTACCGAAATTTCTAAAGAACATGACAAGAAAATTAAAATTGTTAATTTTTAAACATTTGAAGTTTATTTTAAAATGTCTATTGTAAGAATTTATTTTACTATACCTTTATTTAAATTCGAGAAGTACGAAACAATGACTTGAACAAAAATAAGATAAGCGCACACTTTTGACGAATGTAATTCTTTTGTGCGGCAGCACTTTTCCGTTATCTATAGCGTCGTGTGTATGTGTGACATGATTAGTACTAAGAATATAAAATAAAAGAATACGCCACTGACTAACAGTCAGTTTTTTCGGGTTAAGCTGTGACATTTCTTACAAAAACAGATTACATTATTCCGCCATGTTGTGACCTATTTCTTGCGAGTTGAGAAGAAGAAGCACAGAAAAGCATACAAGTTGTAAACAAAAACGTAAACACTTTTGTTATTTCGTGAAATTAACTTCATTTCTTAGTTTTCGGTGAAAAAAGTATAGTGAAATAAGTAGAAGAATGTTGCCTGAATATGTTTGGGTCATTCTAGGATGTGACACTATAAATACAGAAACACCCAGGCAAAGTAAAAAACAAACAGAAACCGTCGAAGTGTGCGGTTGTATTTATTTAAATTTATAAGTATAAAATATATTGATTTTTTACAATGAAATGTGCAGTGGCAAGTTACAATAACTATTATGCAAATAAAATAATGAAAACAAGCTTTTTCAGTTTTCCTTTGGATATAAAAGTTGCTAAAAAATTAATAACTTTTTGTTAGAGAAATGAAAAATTTCATCACAAATCTTCTTTAATTTGCAGGGATCATTTTGTGGATGACGAATGGAACCTCAACCAATTTGAAATGGGTCAGTATGTACCTTAATTGTAAATAAGTTGTATTTATTAAAACTTTTTTAATATATTAGGATTTGCGAAAAGACTTAAGCTGAAGCGCGGGGTGGTACCCACAATTCAGGTTCGGTATTACACTAAATATAATTATACATATATAATTATTGTAACAACTTTCGTTGTTGATTTACGTGAGTACCTGCCGGCGACGGCCTTACCTCACGGTGCTCCAAAGCACAACGTAAATTATTGTAACAATATATTTTCACGATTGGTTCGACGTGATGAATGTAAGAGTATCACGTTTAGATTCCCGAGAGCGTTGTCATGCCTATGGACTCGCTATTGCTGTACAAAGTTTTATTATTGACGAAATGACGGAAATGATAACAAATCCTTTTTTTGGAATTATACGCGCTAAGGATGGCCTACATGATCACCCAGATCAACAAGAGTTTAAATACCGCCTTAGATCATATGCAATAGGATGAAATGAAGGCGTTATATCAAATGCGGCTAATGTGGAAGTCGATGATACGCCCGTCTCGCAGCCATCTTTCACTGGTAATTTCTAAATAAAAGTATTATTAATAGTATTTAGAAAAACATTACAATATGTTTTTAATTTTATCAATGGCGACGGTTTGCTTATTTGTGAAAAATATTTGTAAAAACATAAGGAGGAAACATCTAGAACCGATTGCAGCAATAAAGTAAAAAATTGTTCTTCCGGGTTAGAATGTTTTTTAAAATAAGGAAGTTAAACAAAGAATTTGAAGATCCATCCACAAAAGGAAACGTAAATTTAATAAAATAGTTTTAGTAGTATAGATTTAATAATTTTATTTTCATATTTATATAAAAACTATTACTTATGTAAGAATAACAATTAAGAATATATTTATGTACAATAAAAGAAAGCAGATACACCGTAATCACACCTTGTTTTAATCATTCACTCTGTTTGCAAAAGGTTGACGATAGGTTAAAAATATTTATTTACATACATATGTTACAAATATATCTTCGATATAATTTTACAATCATTTCACTACAATTTCATAGATATATATTAGAACTACATTCTATCATTATTGATCAGAACTATTATTATTATACATATGTATTTGTGTGCAATAAAATAAACTCCTTCTTCATTTCAACCATTCACTTAATTGGAAATTATGCAAATATTTTCACACATCATTATTCTATTAAGTTCACATTTTTTAACCAAAACGAATGAATTAAGTATATTTCACGAATTAAAATATGGTTTACTTTTTTGTTTACAATTTACAGGCTATTTGACTGTTTTTCATGCTTCTTCTTCTCAACTCGAAAGAATTACGTCACAAAATGATGGATGGCGTAATTAGTACCTTTGGCATCTTAGTTTATGGAGAATAATAGTATACTTACGTATTTATGACTTCACCATAACCCACTTACACAAAAGACCAACCGTGGAGGTCTACTTAAGTGAATTTCATCTTAAAAATATTCGATATTGCGCATCCACTCAAATTTCAATCAGTACTTAGCTACTTAGGCAAATACATAGACACATAACACATAGCACATAATTTATATTTTCACATCTGTATGTAAGCATAAACAAATTAGCCAGTCCAATTAAGATTTCTTTTTAACATTTAATTTAGTCTTAGACTCATGACGCCTAGTGTATGCATGGTAAATGATCAGCGTGACGAGCTAAGTCGAATTAGCCATGTCCGTCTGTTTGTCCGACTGTGTAGAAATTGTGCATGAGTTGTTGCTTCAGGCAATGGAACAATCTCCAAGAAGTTATTTTGTTTTCATTTATTTTATTTTTTCATTTTCCCATTTGTTGATCATACGCTCTTCTAAGTGTCTTGACTAGTATACTTTTGAAATCCTTTTTTATTATATCTACTATACGCACATACAATATATAATATGACATACTCCCTATTTACTGTGGCATTAGCGTCCTGCACAAAAAAAATGAAATACAACTTGAGAAGATATTGTAATTAAAAATAATAAAATTAAACCGTAAACTAATTTGAGAAGCAAATGCACCAAGTAAATTTCATAAAAAACTCAAGAAGATTCGTGGTCGTATTTTTGTTTTCTACAGACTTAATGACTTAAAACGACATATGTTTCGAACACTGAAAACAAGTGTTCATATGTATTCATTTAATGGCCAAAGTTTCTACCATGCACTTCCTGTTTCTGGAAAGCGCATTCCATGCCTCCGCTCGCCGTATACTTTCTTTATTTGCCGAATCATCTTCCTTGCTTTGTTGTTGGCCCTCCAGAAATTACAAAATATGCTGAACTAAAATTTGAGAGTAAACATCTTCAGGTTATTCCATAAATATATATGTACCTACATACACATACAAAATTTGTGTTTGTCTCTTACCATAAAATTTGTATTAATTCATACTTTATTCTAATTTTAAAAAGTCGTACAGCTTTGACTTTTTCAATTGACTGAAAAATTCGATATTTTTTTAAATAACCGCTATTATGTTTTTTTCAGTTTCTAATCTTCCCGCCATAATAATCACTGTTGTTTGAGATCGAGAAGAAACGAGTTTCGCATCATATTATCAGAAATGCTCAGTTAACTACTGATTGCAGACTTTAATTTCTCACAATTCTTTTTTTCTTTTTTTAGACCGCTGTGTTTCTTCTTCCATTTTAAATATATAATAGTGGCTCGGTAATTTCGAAAAATGGCCCAGAACGTGCGGTCTCTAGATTATTTTCTCTGAGGGTATGTTAAACAAAGGTTTACACCAATCAATTTGCAACGCTCGAGGAACTCGAAGACAATATTCAGCGCACTACAGCACCGGGTCATCGAAAATTGGCGTAATCGGACGAAGATATCCAAACGGAGTTGTGGTGGCCATGTTGTTCGAATCATAAACGGCATAAAGTCTGCATATTAAAAATGTGTGTGATATTTTATGTCATTCAACAGAATCGCAATAATTCGGGAAACTTGTACTTCAGGTAAAACTTTCTGCAAGTCACATTGCTTAGCAATGTCTTAAAAGGTGACGAAGTTATACTAATACTAATAACTCTCGTCAACAAACTACATCGCTGAAAATGTTCATTTTGAGAGGGTAGTTATGCTCAAAGAGAAGTTCCGTTCATTCAAAATCATTTATGATTGACACTTATGTGAAAACTGTCCTCAATGGCAATTAAAAAGAATTTCTAATAGTTTGAACAACTCGATAATTCAAAAGCGATTCTTATATTGGTACTAATAATGTAATTTCTCTAATTTTTTCTTTGGTATTCACCAAACTTCTATATGCAACACAGGAATGATAAAGCATGATTAATGATATCACGAGAATTATATAGCTCAAATTATACAAACTTTCAACATACAACTATTTCTGTATTTAAATAAATAAATATCCTATTAGTAGCTCGTAGATTATTCCTAATGTGCAAAGAGGTTTTAAGATATCAATGGCTTCGTAAGTTCCATAATGATATTTAATTACTACAGATTACAATTAAAAGACATAGCGGAGTAATTGATTTAATTTTCAAAGTATTTGAAATTAGGTTAGAATTGGCTATAAGCAAATGAGTAAATTATATTTTAAATAATTGCTCCATAGTTGCACAGTCTACTTGTATATTTGCACAAAAACAAGCAAAGAGAAAGTTGGATTCACCAACCTGGACATCTCAATTCGTGAGCCCAATGAAAGTATTTAGAGAAAAAGTACCTTCGCATTGCCATGAAGTATGCAACAAACGTGCATTCGATAGATTCACTCTAATGAAAATGAATGAAAAGCTCAGAGTTTCATTTCGAGCAAATGTGTTGGTAGGGCGCTGACGCAGTGGCCACTTGACATTGCTGAACTTCTTTCAGACTTTCTGTATTTTTTTTTTTTGGCATGTCGTCTTGCATGCAACGAAAGAATTTTAAATTGCTTGAAATGTTTAAATCTCAAAAACGAATTACCTCGCTCCTTCTTTATTCTACTAACATTTCCCCTTGAAGTTGTTTTTCACTTTACTCAGTTCAGCACATTACCGTCGCATAGTAATGGATATAATCGCCTAATAAGTTGGAGGCAGTTCCATTTCGCTACTCATGTAAATATATGCAAACAAAATAATAAAAGAACCAACGGACAACCCGTTTAAGACGATAGCTCCCTCATCCGAAGTGGTGCCATTACCATGGATATTTAAAATTTTAGCAACGTATTTATCTCACCTCATCAGACGACAAAATGACTCACCCCACCACATCCCTTTACTCAGCTATGTAAAACCTAATCTACACTTAGAAGTGCGTTCAATTGTTTGTCGCGCAAGTAAGGATAAAGACAACATGCCATTGCGAAAATAACTGAGGAAAAAAAAAAAAAAACGATGACAATAGCAAACATCTGCCGCCAAAGCTGACGCAAGTGTAAAGCCGCGCCCGCACCTTAGGCGTTCGATGTACTCATCCAAAACATAGATGGCAACTAGCTAAGCAAAAGTTGTGGAACGCTTCGAGGTGTAGAATGGAATTTTAACTACATATACATTAGTATGTATGAACTACTGTATGCACAGTAACTATATATAGCATTACTTCACTTTATTCTTGGTATTATTTTGATGGTTTTGGGGGCTCAATTAGACTCTTTCGGCAAAACGTTTTCTATTTTTTAGGTTTTTGTGTGTTTATGCCACTTTTGTAATATTTAAACTGTGGCTTAGCTGCTCCACTTTTAAAAATGTGCTGGTCATTAAATTGAAAATTGTTCTTATTATTCATCATCATAATTGTTATTGCTATAGACTTTTGATACCACATACCACGCTCGCTTGATAACTTTATGTGAATTATTTGTAATTTGTTAAGTAGGCATGTCAATGTATTTTCGTCTGAAGTTCGTGTGCGGAAATTAAATATTTGGCAACAGAAATTTGAAACCAGTCTTGCTAGAAGGAAAAATTATAATCGTGATCTCGACGACATTTGGTTTCAACAAGACGGTGCAACTTCCATCGCATCAATCAATGGATTTACTGAGAGAACACTTCGGTGAGCAAATAATTTCACGTTTTGGGCCGGTCGATTGGCCACCTAGATTGGGTGATATGACACCGTTAGACTTTTTCCTGTGGGGATATGTAAAGTCTAAAGCCTATGCGGAGCAAAACCTCACGCGTGTCATTCGCCAGTTACCAGTCGAATTGCTCGAACGAGTCTTTGAAAATTGGACTTTACGGATGGAAAATCTAAGACGTAGCCACAGCCAACATTTGAAAGAGATAATATTCAAAATATAAATGCCAAAGATTGTTCTTTCGAATGATAATAAACATTCCCTATTGAATTTAAATGTTCGAGTTTTTTTCTTTAAAAACTAGGAAACATCAAAATGGATCACCGTATATTAGGGATAAGGGGCTTAGACCACGGTCAAGTCCAATTTCATTCATATTTAGCGCTAAACCACATTATGCTTATGAAAACGGCTTAAGGTCAGCTAGAAAATCGGAAATCATTATATTGCATATATTTGGGCCATGAGAAGGTCTGGACTGGTTGTGTAAACATGTAATATTACTCAAGTATATTCAGAAAAATGTTTCCAAGCAGTTTTATGAAGATTATATCTAAGTCTGCAGAAATTAGGAAAATCATTATTGTAGTAAATGGTAGCTAGGGTAATTCGTTATCAACTTTTACTCACTTTCTGCATTAAAGTATAATATATCCAATATAATACGAAAGCTTATTTTTGATATCTTATTTTACGGTATAAAGAAAAATGAAAGTTTACAATCCTTATACTGAGTATATACATAGGTGCTATGGGTAATATTGACTTACTTACTATTATTACTAGAAAAATATATTCTAAAAAGTCAAGTCTAAAATCTATATATTAT